CTAGCCCCTCGAAGGAGCACCACTGTAGCTGCCAGATCCTCGAGGCCTCTTGGCCTCCCTCTCCTCTTTCTCTTGACGGCGAACTGTCTCAATCTCACGGATGATATCAACAACCTCCTCGAAGGTAGCACCAGTCATCCTCTCCCTGGTCATAAGAATATGGAGGTGATAAGTAAGACCATCAACAAATCTCCTGATCCTCTCTCGATCTATCGGAACCATCCAGATGGCATGACGATCCAACTCAGAAAACCTCAACTCATACTATGACACAGTCATATCCCCTATCGCAACCACTCAAACTGTCTACGCAGTTCCTCTCTGCGGGACTGCGGCACATACTTCTCCAGGAAGAGAACGGTTAACTGTTGACAAGTAAGGGGCGCTGCACCAACAGGCCTACGCCTTTCAAAATCCTCCCACCAAGTAAAAGCAGCTCCTGAAAACTGATAGGTGGTAATAGCAACCTCGCTGATCTCCAGAATACCGGCCGTACGAAGCATCCTCTGACACTTATCCAAAAAGCCCTGGGCATCTCGCCCTATGTTCCACTGAAGGTCGGAGGCTATAATCTACCAAACCTCTCCAATCTACGCTGCTCATCCTCCGGCATGACTAGAATCATATAGTCTTGAGCAGCTGCGACCGGCTGGGCTGGATGCGCCCCCAACGTCTGAAGTCCCTGCACTACCTGCTCAGGTGTGCGAGCGGCGGGAGTTTGATTGCTTCCCCTAGCCTGTGAAGTAACTGTGGCTGTAGTGGTTGAAACCGCCTGATCCAGGCCAGTGTAAACTGATAAGATCTATGCCAAGGCCTCCTGAAGACCCGGAATCACGATGGGCATAGCTGGTGCCTGATTTGGTGCTACTGGAGCATCTATAGCTGGAGCCTGATCTTGAGCTGGGGCAGCTGGTGGATCAACAGGTGCTGCCCTTGCTGCTCTGCCTCTGCCACGACCACGACCGCGTCCTTAGCCTCTGGTGGTCTCAGCTGGTGGAACTGGTGGTCGTCAACCCCCGGTAGCGCGTGTCCTCACCATCTATGAGAGAATGGAATAACAAAAGTTTAGTACTCGGATCAACAAGTTCGCACGACAAGAATTTCAAGAATATGAAGTTTTTCCTAAAGGTTCTACAGCCTCTCGAGGATAAATACAGACGTCTTCGTACCGATCAGGGAGACTCTACTAAACCTGCTCATGACTCGTGAGACCTATGTAACCTAGGCTCTAATACCAATATATCACAACCCTAAACCCAAACCCGGTCGTGATGGCACCTCTCGTGAAGACAAGGCCAGCCAATTAAACCCAATTCACTTTTTAAAACAGTTAATCAACATAAAAATAGTCTAAACATGATTTAAAAAATACTGAATGGCAGAAATATCGATAATAATGCGGAAAGTTCAACCTGACACAGCCCTAACCGGGGTGTCACAAGTCACGAGCATTTCTAAACCATAATACTAGTCTGCTAAAGTCATAAACTACTACAAGTGTTTGAAAGGAAATAGAAATGATAGAGAAGTAGAGACACGGGGCTGCGGATGTCAACAACTACCTCGTAGTCTCCGAAAACCACCTGGAACTAGAGGAATCAACACTTAGGAGCAGTACCAGCTACGCCTGAATCTGCACACAGGGTGCAGGGAGTAAAGTGAGTACTCCAACTCAGTGAGTAACAAATGTAAATAACGACTGAAAGTAATAAAACACGTAAAACACAAAGCATTCTATACTGAAGCAGTAAAAATCACTTAAAAATAGTAAAACAGTGAAGAGTCAAGTAAATCCCTTTTCACAAGTAAAACAAGTAATTGACAGGTAAGTAAACAAATAGAAGTTCGCCCCTCGGGCACAGTATCAACAAATCCGCCCCTCGGGCAACATCTCAGAACTGTACCAGCCCCTCGGGCTCAATCTTAGAACAATATCAGCCCCTAGGGCTTGATCTCACATCACAATAGGTACCCGCGCTCACTGGGGGTGTACAGACTCCGAGAGGGGCCCCTTACGACCCAAGCGCAATATCAAGCCATCTCGTGGTATCAAGACTAGGCCCTTGGCCTCATATCAATCAAGCCAGCTCGTGGCATATATATGTATCTTAGGACTTCGGCCTCATATCAGTACCAGTGTATCCTCACAACTAGGCCCTCGGCCGTACTCAGTCTGAAAATCATCACAAGCCTCTCGGGCAATAGTAAAATAGTATCTCTCATCCCAAAACATCATTTAAAATATCATTTAAGTCTCAAAACTGAGTAAAAAATGGCTGAGTAGTAAAACGGTGGAAAAATAATGAGACTGAGTTCAAGAAATAAGTCAAAATAGTGAGGAAATGGTAATAAAAATCCCTGAAGGGTTCAAATAGTTGGCACAAAGCCCAAATATGGCAATCAACCCAAATCATGATGATAGCAAATAAGTTTCAGTCAAATACACGGTAAAATCATCAATCAGGATGGACCAAGTCACAATCCCCAATAGTGCACAACCCCATGCTCGTCATCAAGCGTGTGTCTCACCTCAATATAGCACTACGATGTGCAATCCGGGGTTTCAAATCCTCAGAGCATCATTTACAATCATTACTCACCTCGAATCGGCTAAATCTCTAGCTCGCGACACCTTTACCCCTTGAATCGGCCTCCACGAGCGTTGAATCTATCCAGAATTAGAACGAATACGTCACAATATGCTAAGGGAACAAAGCTCAAGCGAAAACAATCGAAAAATACCAAAAATCCTGAAATTTGCAAAATCTGAGCCTCGGGCCCACTTCTCAAAACTCAAAAATTTTCATATCAATAGATTCCTCATCTCCCCACGAGTCTATGCATATCAAGAGTACCAAAATCGGAGTTCAAATGACCCCTCAAATCCTTAATTTAAGGCCTCTTAAACTCAAGCCCTAATCCCCCATTTTTAGCCTTTTGATTCCTTTAATTTCCGTCTTAATCCATGAAATACTACCATAGAAATGTATTTTTGGTCCAAAATCCTTACCTTAGCAAAGTTCCCTTGAAATCTCTCTTCCAAATCGTCCAAATGCTCTCAAGCTGAAGTCAAAAATGGTGAAATAACCCAATTTCGCGAAATGGTCTAACTTATATGTTCTGCCCAGGCATACCCGCATTTGCGGTCCAAAATTCGCTTCTGCAGTACCACATTTCCGGTTAACACACCGCTTCTGCGAAAATTACTAAAGCCGGCCACTGCCGCATCTGCGATCCTTCTTCCGCATTTGTGGTTTCGCAGATGCGGCCCCCACAACCGCATTTTCGGTTTCCTGACAATTCCGTCCAAAACCGCTTCTGCGGCTTCTCCCTCGCATCTGCGGCGCTGCCCCTGCGGGCCCCAAACCGCAGGTGCGAAAACACCAGAAGCAACAAATTTTCTGATATCTCCCAAGTTTCAAATCTTCCCGTTAACCATCCGAAATCACCTGAGGCCCTCCCGGGACCTCAACCAAAAGAACACACATAACCCAATACCTTATTCACTTGTCCCAATTATCAAAATACCTCAAACAACATCAAATCTACCAAATCACATCAGATTCAAGCCTAAGTTTCAAAAATCTTCCGAAATGCACTTTAGTTCAAAAACCCAACCAAACCACGTCTGAATGACCTGAAATTTTACACACACATCCCAAATGACACCATGAAGCTACTACAACCCTCGGAGTTCCATTCCGACCCCTATATCAAAATCTCGCCTAATAATCGGAAATTGCCAAAATATCAACTTCGCCAATTCAAGTCTAATTCTACTCCGAACCTCCAAAACCCATTCCGATCTTGCTCCCAAGCCATAAATCACCTCTCAAAGCTAACCGAACCATGGGAACTCGCATCCGAACCCTCTAACACATAAGTCAACTCAAACTCCCTTAAAAGAGACTAAGTGTCTCAAACCTCACCAATGCATTCCGGACTCGATCCAACCAATCCGATACCACAAAAACATGGATAACGAAGCATAAAGAAGCTGAAATGGGGGAAAACGGAGCGCTAACACATGAGACGACCGACCGAGTCATCACAGTTATCCCATATACTCCTACTTATACCAATTTCCTTCTGTAATCTTCTATCTTTGTTATGGATGTTCAGATTTTTCGTCTACGAGTCTGTCTAATATTGTTTGTTTGATTTGTTCTTATTTTAGACTACTTAAAATGGGTCGTGGGGTACGGGTATAAAAATGAAAGAATTCGGTTTAATGTTCTAATAATTTTATTTTTATTATTTCCCTGCTAGGAGCATGCTTAGGCTGACCACACTCGGGTAGGTAACTCTTTAGGATTTTCGAAGTTCACGTGACATAATTACGGGTTCCAAACTTATGACCAAAGTATACGTTCGCGCAACTTTGGGCGAAACCTTCTTAATAATAATAATAAAATGTTATTAATTGTGTACACGTTCACGTGACACGAGTACGATTTAAAAAGTGAATATTCGTAGAAAATGCTTTAGGCACGACTTAATCTATTATCGCGATTATATATACGTTCGCGTAACATAATTACAAATTTAAGTTTACAAAAATATATCGGGGTATGCGTTCACGCAACTTCGATCAAAACTTTCTTAATAATTAACAAAGCGTGATTAATTGTGGATACGTGCGCGTGACATGATTTTTGATGCGCCAAACGAAATGCGTATACGTATGCGTAACTCAATTCTTTCATTACGAATAATCAAGCATTAAAAGCGGTAAAAAGATAAATGCACATAGGTTCTAACATAAGTAATTAGACAATTTAAGCCAAGTATAAATCGCTAAGCGACCGTGCTAGAACCACGGAACCCGGGAATGCCTAACATCTTCTCCCGGGTTAACAGAATTTCTTATCTAGAATTTCTGGTTCGCAGACTTTTAAATAAAGTCGAAAATTTCCTCGATTTGGGATTTTAAAATAAACCGGTGACTTAGGACACCAATTAAATTATTCCAAGTGGCGACTCTGATTAATTAAATAATCACATTTCGAATAATGTCACTTTAATTGGAAAAACTCCCATATACCATCGGGGTGTAAAAAGAAGGTGTTACAATTACTGGTTTAAAATGTTCTTCTTAAGTGGACTTCATAGTTTTTCGTGAAAAAAGAGAATAGGCTTTCGAAAGTCTACTTCCCTGGAAAAGATAGATTGAGTTAGGCGATTTGTTTAATTTTCTTACTAGTCATGCATATGGTACAACTACATCATTTATAGGTAGCAATGATGATGCGGTAGAAGTTGGCAATAATTTATTTTGTTGAATCTGTTTTGATGGGGAAGCAGAAAAATCGGAATGTGTTCGAGCAGCTAATGAAAATTGTAGATGACAACAAACTCTGCTCTTATTTCAACTGGGGCTCTCTTTGTTATGAAACGTTAGTAAAATCATTGAAGAGTTGTTTGAAGCCCAATGAGAATGAGAATGAGAAAGAGAAAAAGAAAGTTAAAGACAAGGACATTTATACTATACTTGGCTTTCCTTTCGCTTTTTGTGTTTGAATTATGGAAGTATTCCCAAATTTTTAAGAAAAACAATTTGTGAACTTTACAGAATGTGGGTATCATCGGATGTTATGTTATTCAGATATGAAATCTCCACAATATGATTCTCTGTATAAAAAATACTTCCATAATGAAAATGTAAGTTAATCTGATTACTAGATATTTCTTTTGTTTATGTGTTTTAGTTTTGAATACTTACATTTTTTTCTTATATAATAGTTGTATAAGTTGATCGAGGTGACACCATTTATTCCTATTGAAGAAGATGCAGAGCCTATTAGTGTGCATGAGCCATTGTCTCAAGATCAAAGTTCAATGCCTTCCTCCACACAATGTGATGAAGCCTTGCTTAAGGAAATTGTTAAAGTAGGTTTTCTGTCTTTGAATAGCATTAGTTTTTTATTTGATTATTTATGCTTAAGAGACTTTTTTGTTTTTATGGCTTTTAATTCAGAGATTATCAGAGAAGTTTAAAAAGGATATGCAAGCAGAAGTTACTCGAATAAATAAAAAAATAGCTGTATCAGAAAAAAGATTCGAAATGACATCAAGGTAATATCATTTATTTTAGTTCTTGTAATTCTAAGTTAAGGACACTATGTCCTTAACTTTTGAGCTTGAAACTTGAAGTTCAGGACCAAGTGTCCTGAACTTTTGAACATTAAATTTGAAGTTCAGGAACAAGTGTCCCGAACTTTTGAACTTGAAACTTGAAGTTCAGGACCAAGTGTCCTTAACTTTTGAACTTGGAACTCAAAGTTAAGGACCAAGTGTCCTTAACTTTTGAACATGCAACTTAAAGTTTAAGACCAAGTGCCTTTAACTTTTGAACTTGTAACTTGAAGTTTAGGACTATTTGTCCTTAACTTTTTAATTTAATTTCTTTCACAGGATTTAAAGAAAGACGTAGGATCAAAGATTGATACTTTGTTGAAGATTCTTGTCAAACCTGATGAAAGGAACATAGAGAGAGAATCTATTGTTCCGCCCCCGAAGGGGTGAAGGAGTTTTTCTAATTAAAGGACAATCGAAACGGGATTTGTTTGTTTATTTCAGAGTCGCCACTTGGGAGATTCAGGGTGTCCCAAGTCACCAATTTAATCCTGAATCGAGGAAAAGAATGACTCTGTTTAACAGTCCGCGAACCAGAAATACGGATAAGGAATTCTGTTAAACCGGGAGAAGGTATTAGGCATTCCCGAGTTCCGTGGTTCTAGCACGGTCGCTCCACTGTCATATTCGGCTTGTTTATCTGATTTTATACAATTATGAGCTCGTGTGCAAGTTTTAACTTTTAACCGCTTTTGTCATTATATATATATATATATATATATATTATCAAGAGTTACAATATCATGGAAATACATCTCCAACCACGTCACATCAATGCACCCGTGGTTGTTGACATATTTCAACTCTGTTGAGATTTGGATTTGGGTCACATAAATGTGCACCCGAGTTTAAGAAAATTAAATTATTAAAGGCGCGACTAGCGTATCATTTACTTTGGGTAGGGCCGTGAAATTTTGCTAAACGGTCCATCCCGAAGACTAAGCAATTTCAAAGCAAATATTTACCGAGGGCCCCGCAATTTTATATTTTTATTCGGCGAGGCTCATCTCATCCTTATTTTTTAAAAGGAATTTGCAACGTCATAGACATGCATCTCGGACCACGTCACAATCAATGTACCCGTGATTAGAGACACATTTCGACTCCGTTGAGATTTGGATTTGGGTCACATAAATGTGCACCCGAGTTTAAGAAGGTAAGATTTATTAAAATGCGCGCCTAAAGCGATTAGCGTATTATTATTTTGGGTAAAACCGTGGAGTTCGCTCAACGGCCTATCCCGAGTTCTAAGTAATCAGCACATATATTTTTGTGAGGGCCCCGCAATCTGTGCGTTTTATTTGGCGAGGCTCATCTCATTTTTATTTAAAAGGTCGTCCTATAGTGGCTATGTTTTCTATTGAGTTTGTCTCTAATAATGAAAGAAGAAGAACGGTCCAACTTTATTTACATGCTTACAAGTTAGTTATAGTCGGGTTCCGAATATGATTTGCAAAATCCGAAACATGAACGCGTATATGGGCAGTTGTTTAGATATTACGGGCCCAGGCCCATCACACACTGTATGGACTGGACCTAGGCCATTCCTTTTCCGATAAGGGCCTGTTAGTTCACTCGACTCAGGTCCAACGTTTATGAGGCTGAAATGGAAACTAGTGTTATTTTATTCTAACGGTATTGTTGCAAGCTATAGCGAGGCAGCCTACTAAATGGAGTGAGATTAACTAGCAATGGACAGTTTAACACTTAACATGCGTTAGAAGATATGCTAATCACAAACACAGCTAAAATTCCAGATATTGCTTACTACACTATCACTTCTTTTCTATCTACCAGCATACATACATAAGGTGATACTAAGTTGCCATATGTGATGTCTAGTTATACATGATGACTACTCTCATTATCCTAATAGAAGATATGAACTATTATACATACAACTTTAATGTTCAATATACAGACTGAAACAGATTCGAAAAAAACTTCAGCTCTTCATTTTTTGCATTCATGTTTCAAATTTCAACCTACATTGACCAGTGTATCAGTTGTGTACCTGGTATAGGAAAGCAAAAGAAGAAGAGGAATGATCAGTGCAGTAGTAGCATACACAGCAACAGCAGCAATAAGAAAAACAGCAATCCGCAACAACACAACCCAGCAGTCAGATTTTTTAACACCAAGACAAAGAACCCAGTTTGCAGCCTAGCAGCACCCCAAAACAAATACAGGCAAAGCAGAGAAGGAAACAGATGCAGAAAAGCAGTAGCCTCTGATTGTTATGTTCAAAATCCAGCACACTCTTAACTCTATATCACTCTGAAAACAGGCTGTCCTCTAAAGGTTGAAAGACCAACCTTGTTTTTACTTTTCTTTTCTCTATCCAAACTTAAAACTGTCTAGCCCCTTCTTAACTCTAAATCAACCTATTTATAAGCTAACCCAGACCAACCGAGCTGCCTTGATACCTTCAGCCTTTATTCTGCCCATACCCCTTAATTCCCCATGCCTAAATGTCGTTTCTTGATGCCCACTATATTTTTCCCCATGCTTGTCCTATTTGTTTTAATCAAGAGTCATGGGAGGGGTTATAGTATTCAAATAAACCCATGCCATTATGTTATGTACCCTACTGCAATTAAACTAAGTTTAACAAATGACCCTTAGGCAGTCCTCAGCTTTACAGCCTGTTAACATGCTACTAAACTCCCAAAATTACCCCTTAACCCTTGCATATTACTGTATTACCCTAACTCTTAACAGTCAGTATATAAACCCCTCTGAATTTAGCTAATCACTGAACTGACTGTATCAACTTAAGCCTAACACTGATTTCAGGTTGATCTGTTAAACTTCTACAGTTATACCCAATTCTCAGCCTAAGTTCAACCAATGATTCAAACTCAATCAAACAAGGGTGCCAATCAAATGGTATGAGTTTGTCATATTGGGAGCCAATCCTGACCAACTCAAAACCAGAATGCAAACAGGTCAACAATCAACAAGCTAAGGCCAAAGTAGTAATGAACAGGCTTCCATAGCAGACTATGAAGATCATGAGGTTACTAAACGAATGAGTAGTCTAGTTCAAAGACAAAACTGAACATATTCAATAGGTTCATTATAAGTTACCATACAGATGTGGTGCTGACAAACATACATGGAGGGTATTAATGAGCTACTGTCCTGTTTCCTCTAATTTTCAAACAAATTAATTGACGACACTTATTTAAACGACTATACAAGCTATAATAGACAGCAAACAATCAATAAAACACACAAAACAAACTAAACATTACCTCAGGATTCACAGACTTGACTGAAAAATCAAAACAAACTAAACTAAACATGAAAAACAGATAGAATTCATAGGGGAACAAAAGAAAGGGAAAAATTTACCTCAGGGATTCGAAATCAAAACTGACCCA